ACTTCCATTTCTCATTTGCAATTTCGCATCTTGAGGGTGAGTGAGTATGGTGAGGATGCTTATTGCTTCTTCTCTCATCCACACCTACCTACACTCATATCCTCACCCATTTAATACAGATCAGAAAGTGGATTTTATTTATATCATTCAAGAAAAACAAATAGACAGAATTGATATTTTCAAACATTGCGATCATTTAACTAAAGGACTATCAATAATGATAGGTTTTGTCAGAATTGATGATATTTATTGAACAGTTCGATTAATTACAGTAGTCATCATTTGACTGAATCTTTCTCTTTCTTTATCAAAGAAAAGCAATGAGTCATTTTTATTCTTTCATCGAAGAAAGAAAAGGAAAGAAAATGAATGCAAGATTATGACATCATGCTATTAGTCAATGACATCTATATAAGAGATGGTAATGTTGAATGACGCAAGAAAAAGTATATCCGTGCCGGGATTTGAACCCGGGTATTGGCGGTGAAAGCGCCACATCCTAACCGCTAGACTACACGGATCTGACATATTTGTGATGTTACTAAAAAAGAATAATGAAATTGGATTTTATTAACCTTTAAACAGCTCACCCTCATATACATTTGTAGAATACTCTGAGATTATATCTCATATGTAATTTTAAAAATAATAGTTCATAGACTTCTTTTTTTATTCATACACTATATAAGCGCTATGTTTATCGTGATTCTATCTGATCATTATTTTTTATTCGTCTAGATTATTAAAAGCAAAATTCAATTATTTTCATATTTCATCGAAAATCAAAACTTAATAATTGATTTTCGGCAAAGTTCAAGGAAAATGCAAAGATTTCTATCTATTCTTTTTCCAAAGTCTTTTCGTACTTTCAAAATTATTAAACACAATTTGCTTCTAAAAGATGTATTGGGAACAGGTATCTTTATTGCTTTCTTTTAAAAAATCCTCATTTATAAATTTCCTAACTGTCTCCAATTCAAAACTAGTATCTGTTTTATACAAAAGCTTTAACAAGATAAAGTACACTTATTATGATGGGAACTATTGATGAATTTCTATCCATATAGTAAAACTCAACAATAAGTGTAGTCAATTGTTTGAGACGGTCGTCAAGTAAACAAAGACAATTACTAAAAATTTTTATATTAATGTATAAATATGTAAGAGTCATAGAAGAAAATGTATTTAATGGTAAATAACGAATTGATGAATACGAATATGCAAGATTTGATATTCTGATAACGTTCAACTGCTGAAGATTTTCCATATAAGATAAAATATGTGCATAGACCTTTATCATATAATTTATCGACAATCCTACTACACTATCATAATCTCTGTTGAACAGATGAAGTTTTGTAATCTGTTGTTTGAAGATATGTCGAAGAGATGAATCATCTAAATTAAAGAACAATAATGAAACAATGCATAATCTATGTTATTTAACAGCGTTGTAAGTTAATTTTGTATTTAACAAAATGGATAATCTTTAATTATCTGTGAAATAACGTAATGAACTGTCAAGTTGAAAGTTATAAATTTTCAGTTCTGTTAAATTTGGATAGTGAGTAGCAAGAACACCGAAAAAAATAATAGCAGAATGGAAAACCCAAAAAGGGTATTTGAAAGTGCAACAATTAATGAACCCTTCTGAACCGTTTTGTAACCCTTCCAAAACCCTTTCGAATATCTTAAAAAATCATCATTTTAAACGTATATTAAAATAAGAAAACCTTCAAAAGGGTTTATGGAATCGTTTATTAAATCTACTTCCTAGTAAAATAATCATTTTCTAAGGGTTTGGGATAGGGTATTAAAGTATCATCAACCCTAAAAAGGTATATTATTCGTTGCACTTTCAAAAACTATTTAACCGTTTTTGAACTTTACAAAATAATCGAAAATATGCTACGCGATCTGGGAGCAACGATATTTCATAATCAATATTATGTTTTCATATACGAATAAAACCGTTTTATGAGACGTTCTTCACATATATATACTCTGTAAGGGTTTTCAGAAGCGCTTGTAAAAGAACTCTATACCCCATAAGAGTATTCGATGTCTCAGCTGATGATGACCCATACCCAGCAGGAGTATTTCAGATGCTACTTGCTAGTGACTCATACCCACTAGGGGTATTTCAGATGCTACTTGTTGATGACCCGTACCCAGCAAGGCTATTTGCGGTGCTAATTGTTGATGACCCACACCCAGCAAGGGTATTTCAGATGCCATTAGACGATGATCCATACCTACGAAAGGTACTTGGGATGCTACTTGCTGATGACCCATACCCACCAGGGGTATTTCAGATACTACTTGCTGATGACCTGTACCTATCAAGGGTATTTGTGGTGCCACTTGCCGAGAATCTATATCCACTAAGAATAGTTGAGATACCACTTACTGATGATCTATATCTATTAAAGGTATATGAAGTACTAGTTGCCGATAATCTATATCTACAAAGGGTATTTGAGATACTATTCACTGATAATCTATACCTATTAAGGGAATTTTAGATGCTACTAGTTGGTGATATATATCCACGAAGAGTATTGCAAGGAGCCTCGGAGGAACTGCTGCAAGTTGACTTCGGAGTCGATTGCCTTTGTGGAAGAGATCTCATGTTTGACATTTAAGGAAGCGAGTTGAGCAGAATTTATATATAAGCAATAGTGATAATTAATTAAATAGAAGATTAGGCTAAAGCAGTTTCTTTTGATATGAACGTTTTGAAAATTGAAGACTCGCATTAAACTGTCTACACTATCAGAAATAAATAGAGTGTCAATATAGAAGAAAGAGACTGAGAGAAAATAATATCTGAACGAAATATTTTGCAGTGCTAGCAACAATATTTAAATTGAAGATTGATGATATAGACTTTTGTGAAGCGTTCTATGCGTAAAGAGGCGAGGCTCACTCTACGGAAATAGTATTTTCAGAAAGACGATTTACTTATAGAAAGATCAATGGAAAAACATGAATATTTATGGCGAGTATTATTAGACAAAAAAATATAATTTAAATATCTTGTAACTGCATGAATCTCTAAGAAAAAATTCTCTAATGGTTGATATTAACCGGCGCAACTTTAAGCAAAAGTAATTATTTAGATTCCTTAGCTACGAAAGTGATAAGTAGACTAATTTAGAAAAAGAAATATGTTTACTCACCAACTTTGCCATGCAATTAAATAATTGATGAAGTCTCATTGATTGAATTAAAAATAGTTGAACTTGACCAATAATTTTGTTTATCTGTTTGAAATCATGAACATCTATTTATCTATTTTTCTTCTACATTGGACGATTGATCTTCACTAATGAAATAAAAATATATCAGAGTCAAATTATTTAAAAATGTGACCTATACATTACCAGTGTATTATTGTTCGCGAATGTAGGTAAAGACTTGTTTGAAAGTAAATCGTTAGAGATGCAATAAATATGCCGTATTGTTTCTTTAATCATTGCTAAAAAATTAATGAAATTTTGAAGACATGAATGAGAATCAGACAAAAACGGTGAACATACCTAAAATTTGACTACTTGTAACTATTTGAAAAAGAAAACGATTGGAATCTTCGGTCACACTTAACATTCCATAAATTTGAACGATACTTACTGTTTGACTTGTCGATAATAATAATCTAATAATAGAAAGAAAATAAAAGTTTTTCAGATAAATGAATGCTTACGATTTCATTTGGACGTTGATATTGACCTTCGTTTAGATGTAGATATCGACCTAGAACAAAAAAATAAAACAAAAGTTTTAGAAATGAATAGATGTTTACATTTCATTAAGATGTTGATATCGATCTTGATCTAAAATAAAAAAATAAAATAAAAGTTTTTCAAATAAATGTTTACCGTTTCGTTTAAATGTTGACATTGATCTACGTCTAGATGTTGATATTGATTTCCATCTAGATATTGATAGAAAACAAAAAAAGAAAACAAAAGTTTTATAAATAAATAAATGCTTACCATTTTATTTAGATGTTAACAATGATCTAAAATTAAGAAACAAAATATTTATTTGACTTAACAACTTCCTGTTAAACCTTTCGATGTTAAAGTTATTCTAAAATTAAGAAACAGATTTGCGTGTAGATAAATAATTACTTACAATTTATTTTTATGTTTAGATGATGTTAAGATAAAGAAAAGCAGTCATTTGATTGAATAATTCCTTCCCGTTTATATCAGTATTCGGAGCGCCTTAAATTAAACAAGAGAAATTTATCTATCAATAAATAAATGCTTACGGTTCATGATACAATTGATGAAACCAATTATTCAATTAAATAAGTTTCTTGCCATTCATTTTGATGTTAACATAATCCTAAAGAAAGGAACACAAATTACATATAAGCAAATGTTACTTACACTTTATTTTGATTTTGATATTAACTTCGACGTTGTTGCTATGAAAATTGTTTGTAATATAATGATATTCTTTACTGAACATATATATATATATATATATGAATTACTATTGAGAAAGTCTACTCTTTGTTGTGATGAAAAAGAAATTTGAGTATGTTAAGATAAATAAATGTACATTTTATATTTTATAAATACAACTCGATTTAAGATACTGATTGATATGATGACAGTTTAGTTAAGATCATTAAGTGATTGGCTTTGAAAATATCAACGTTAAATAAATGGTTTTCAAATATTAATTAGAGTAAAAACGATATTATTCAATACAGTTATGAATGTTAAATGCTTTCAGATGTTATTATAGCATATATTTTGAGGATTTAATAATAATATTTGATCAGTGGTTGTTTAATGAAATAGAAGCGAGAAGAAAATAATATAAAGAAAAAAAAGAAGAACAACATTCTACTTTGTGCGTCTCAATAAAAAATATTGACTAACTTTGATCGTACCTTTCGATGGTAAAGTTAGTCATTATCTTTTACTATAATAATATAAAAAAATAGAAGAACAACGAGTTCTGCTTTGAAAATAAAGTCATTAATAACGGCGTGTCTTTTGTCTTGTTCGTCGAACAGCTGAAGATAATTGAGAACCACTCGAACAAATAGTATCTTCTTGATCATGTTCATCATCATTACTGTCATCAAATGAAATACAATTTTCTTTATCTTTTGATTTTTGAGTTGATGCTGCACGTTTACGTTTTTGAGTAGCCACAACATTTGAAGATGATGATGATGATGATGATGATTGTTCAAATACTTTGCTGGAATTACTTTGAATAGAAAATAGAATAATTAGTGCAGTTAAATTTTAAAAAGAAAAAAATTTACTCATAAGAATCGGTGTTAATATCAATTGAGTCATTATCACCTAATGAATCATTGACAATTATATTTGTAGAAGAAGATATTGATGATGAAGTACATTAATCTTGAAATATCGATTGAGAATTAGCATGTTTTGCTGTTGTTGAATTATCTGTAATTGTATTTGTAATATTTGATAATTTTCGATTTTGTTCGAAGGATATATCAATATTTTTTTCTTTTACCAAATTACGAATACTGTTTGAAATAAATCGTTTATCACCAAAGACTATTGCATATAATAATCGAATTGTTCGATTATTTTTATTAAAATTTAATTTGAATACAGCATACATTGCCAAAAGAAGAGCTAAACCATCATCTGGAGAAGTCGAAGATACGATTGGATTGAAATCCACAAAAATATGCATCACATCGTTCATCAGCACTAATGTAGGATAAGGAGTTGGTGGTGTCTAAATAAATAAGCATGCTTAAACTCGACATAAGCGAAACGATTTTCCAAATTGATCGATAGTATTATATGGAATAATCAAAAGAAAAATTTGTGATCAAAATACAATTACTTAATTTGATAGAGAGAACAACCAATAAGAATTTATTTATGAAACGAATAAGTTTTTCGATGATATAGGATAAATGTTTCGGAGCATTTTTATGTACCTGTCATACTAAATTATTGCTTTATTTATATGTAGTTTCTATGAAGAAATTATTTATCAAATACATATACAATGTATTCATATACAAGACAATATAGACTAACTAATTTATACTGAAATGACAAAGAAATAATCAGTTGAATTCATTTCAAAAGTGAAATGATGATTATGAGAAAAAAAACTATATGGAATTTTATTCACTTAATAATTCTACAAAACTTCATTCATAAAAATATATGATCGAAGTATGACAGTCACTTGTTTAAAAACGTCAATAATACGTGATCATGTCGTCAAATGGGATGTTATTACGTAATACGTACTGATACTCTAATATCTTTTTGAAAGTATTAAACTAACTTTAATTGATATCTAACTGCACTGATCTCAGCTATAGACTAACTAAGTTTATGTTCAATATAAAATACAAAATATATCGAATCAAGACCATATAAAAAAGAATAATAATACGTACTATATCACAATAAATATGATGGACTGTTTCTCCAAAATGCCGACATAATACTCGAATAAGTTGAATTGGTGGTGGATCTGCAAGTGAACAAACGTTATGTACAAATTTTATTTCTTTTTTTTTTATTACCTGGGTGTGGGTGTGGGTGGGTGTGGGTGTGGGTGTGGGTGTGGGTGTGGGTGTGGGTGTGGGTGTGGG